TCTTTATTTTTTTAAAACCAAAAATTTAACCAGGATTCTTACAAGTAATTCATCACCAATTGCTTATAGGTGCACTGTGCAAGGCAAGTAAACAGTAGCAACAATCTAATTTCTATTAAAAAAAAAATAATAATGTTTTCAGCTTTGTATCTTAAAAGCCAAAGTAGTGGGAAATTGGCAGCAATCTGTCGTTTGGAGGTCTTGTTGCAAGTCTTCTGGAAAACAGCAAATTTGAGCCAATAGTGCCTAGTCACCTCTTCTAATGTGATTTCAAAAATATTTTTGCTAGTTTCAAAACACTTTCATTCCCCCCCCCAGTATTTTCAGTGAAACTTCTCATGGATTTGTATCTATTCCGTACTGTTTTCCTGAGAATTGAGTTAGATAATCACTACCACACTAAATGAATTTCTCTAAACACCTGTGAGGCTTCAAGTTTTATCTAGTGTTTGTAGGAATCTCCTCAACTATTGATGTCCATTTGACGTGGACTTGTTCACAACAGAACTGTGTTATGCTGCAGTGTCCAGAGCACTCTCAGCCTTTAACACATTCTTTGGTATGGTGAATCTCTCTTCTAATAAAAATACCACTGTTTTCCTCTTTCTTTTTTTTTTTTTTTTTTTTTGACACAAAGCCATGCTTTTGGTTTAAGAGGTTATTGCAGAACTTACTGGTTTCCCAACTTGCAAGCCACCATTTTTTTCTTCTCCATCCCTGGCTTGAAATGTTGTTTGTGAACATTTCTCTTAGTTTTTCCCAGTGGCTAAGGGCTTGTTCAGTTCACTGTTTCACCTTAAGAAATACGTACTTCCTACAATCTGACTGCATTTGGGCTTTTGTCTCTCAGATAGAAGAAAGTGAAGAGGAATGGGGAGTTCCTCATTGTCTAACACTGCGAGGTCAACACCAGTCCATCGTTGTTGCTGCAAGGTAATTCAGTGAAGACAACGTACATGCGTAAACTGTATTTCTCTATGGCTTTCACGGTGGGACAGGTAGAAAAGCAGAGACGCATCATTTTGTTTGAATTTACTCCTCAAACAATTTCAAAGGGATATTCTTTTGTGAAAGTCACTTGTGGGGAAAAAAAAAAAAAGTGAATGGGGCAAAGAGAGGTTGTGGAGGCCCTATCCCTGGCAGTGTTCAAGGCCAGGTTGGATGGGGCTTTGGGCAACCTGGTCTAGTGGAGGGTGTCCCTGCCCATGGCAGGGGGGGTTGGAACTAGATGGTCTTTGAGGTCCCTTCCAACCCAAACCATTCTGTGATTCTATGAAAATAGAGCGGCAATTGTGCAAGTCAGAACCAAAACTAAGTTATTAGGGAAAAAATCCCTAGCATCTTGTGTCTGCATTTATTTATTTATTTAAATTGAAAGTAAGCTCAGCTTGTGACTATTTCTTAAAGTTTGCCTTCAGCCTGTATGAAAGTGAATAAGACCTGAATTTTCATTGTTAGCACCCGCGCTGAAATGGACAAATGGACTGAGGACATTCAGATGGCGATAGACCTGGCAGAGAAAAGCAGTGGCCCTGCCCCAGAGTTACTGGCTAGCAGCCCACCTGACAATAGTAAGTCAATGCTGGAGAGTAGCTTTTATTCACTTTCATCTGTATGATTGGTGATTGCTTCTAAGGAAAGTAGTGAAAAATGCTGGGGTTTATACAGATATATTATTATTTATTTATTTATTTCTATGCCATTTTAATGTTCTTGTTGATGTTAGCAGAAAGTTTCACTGACTAGAGAAGTGACTTAAACATAACGATTCCAGGAACTATTTAACAAGATTTGGGCAGTGCCTGTCCTTGGAAGGTATTAAAAGCACCAGCAAAGCACGGTAGTTAGTCTTTGATTCTAACACTTGCAAAAACACGTTTTAAAAAAAAAAAAATCTACTTAACATCTGCACAAAATTATTTGTAAAAGTGTGTTTTAAAATTAGTTCACAATATTGTGGACAGAATTGATTTGTTTAATTTTTCCAATTATATATGTTGTTGCATAGAGGAAGAAAGATGCTTTTTCCCTGCATTTCATAGAGTCTCCTGATGAAACTACTGTAGACCAGGAATCTGAGGACGACCTCAGTGCATCCCGCACCTCACTCGAACGTCAGTCACCACACCGTGGCAACACTACGGTGCACGTCTGCTGGCACAGAAATACCAGTGTTTCAATGATCGACTTTAGTATTGCTGTGGAGGTATCGGCCTCAGAACGATCTGAACTGCAGCTCCAGACTCGCTCTCGAATGACAATTTCCTTTTTGCTCCTCCTTAATAAGCACGCTGTTCCATTGTCTCCTTTTGGGGAAGTTTCAGGCACACCGATTAAACTGACTCCTGCATCCTCAATTGATGGTATAAACCATCAGTCAAGAAACACGTATCACTCCCTTAATGCATCTTTGTAAAATCAGTTAGAGCAGTAATTTTCATAGAAGTAACAGTCCAAAAAAAAATGCTGATTCCCTTTCAAATTTAAAGCAGATCAAACTGTCTTAATGCTTTCTGTTACGGAGGCATTAAGTCATTGCTTGAGCTGAAAGGATATTGTCTTTAGCTGCTGCAGCCAGAATTTTAATTATGTGTATTACTAACGTACTTTCTTTACCTAGCCATCTTTTCTGGAACCTTGTCTCATTGCTCAGTCTCATCTGCTTTTTCCTTTATTTGCCTTTTCCACCGCAAAATAAAAATCCTTTTTCCCCCCTGCCCGATCACAGCTAAGCCAATTTGATACACTTTTCAAGGATTAAAATGAAAGACTCCTGGTTTAGTGTAGGTTTTAGGATGAAGTGATAAGCCTGCTTAGGTCTTCTTCCTTCACCCAAGAGAGGCTCCAGGGAGCTCTCAGTACTTTATCACAGTCCTCATCAAATGGAAATTTATGCTCAATGAAACTGGTGAAAGGAATCTTAAAGCTGAGTCAGCCCTCAGCCACCAGGCCACCCTTGCTCTAGGGAAGATGGGCTGATGCAGAACGCAGAGATGCAAGCACAGACCCTAGGCGTAGTTTGTGTAACTGCTTCAGGTTTTAAACAGAAGGCGAGTTGGTTGCTGAAATGTGGCAGAGAAAATGATTCTGTACTAGCAAACGCTGGCTGTAGAGCCTCGTTACGCTCCTGTGCAGGTGGCTTTCCTGCTCTTTATACCCTTATATCCTGCAAGGGAGGAATAGTTCAGCATGGAACACGGTCTCATGCTTTTTCCCTAAAGCAGAGGGCTTATTATAAATAGATATAAAACTTAAATCATGACTAATTCTAACAATTAAAACATTTAGTTAGGCAAAGCTTTTACTCTGAGCACAGCGCTCATTGTTCCTTAATTTTGTTCCTCCCTGTGCCTCAAATGAAAGCAAGCGAAGCAGCGAAGACCAGACACACCCTGGAGACATACATTGTTCTGTGAAAACATCTTCAGTTCCACTGCTGTTCCATGTGTGGCAGGTTACGCTCATGCTCACGTCATTCTGTTGGTGGCTCTCACTTCAGCATTATCGTTTATTTTCTTTGTGTCTCTCCCTCCTTTCTGTCTCTCTCGTGGTAGAAGATCCTCTCTCTGTCAGTGACTGTACTTCCCTACCTGCTGGACTGATCAGTGATCAGCGGCCTGTTTCCATTTCATATGTCTGCTGGTACCGAATGCAAAGCCTGTCCTTTTATGATATCCTCCAGAGTAATGAGGTAACAGAAAATTAAGGAGTACTCCTGTAACTTAGGGCAAGGAGGCAGCGGTCCAGATATATCAGAAAATGGGATGATTTAAGGCAAAGGCTTTAATGTATATCCAAGACTGGTGAAAACAGAACGTTTTCAAGAATATTTCAGTTGTAGTAGATAGATCAGGACCACCAGACTTTGACTGTTTGGCTTTACAGCTTAAGTAATTCATTAGCTTATGCATTATATAATGCGAATGATGTAAACAGGTATTTTGATCCAGGTGAGAGCCCTGACAGTCAACAAGGAATGGGAAGTAATTAATAATTCACTGAGAACTCCCCTTCATCTGCAAGGCACAATGGTGCTGGACTTTACATCTTCAGTTTCTTCAGCCAGACGTTAAATACCTGTCCTTGGTTACGGCTTCCTCCTCCTTTTTGTTAAAATATCAAAATCCAGCTAAGGCCAACCTTACACAGTCCTTGCTTTTGAAATCTTTGAAGAGTTACCATGTGAACTCACTGGGTACTGAGAGTTCAATCTCTAGCTGCAATTCTAAAGTATGTCATAATTTTCCTTTACATCACAAATTCATGTCAGACTTTCTGTTTCCATTTTTCTATTTTAGTATCATTTGAAAAGAACAGACAGAGTAGGATAACAAGACTGATGTTTAGTAATATATTACCGAAAGCCATCTTGATTGAAAAAAGAACCCCAGTAAGTGTAGTAGCTTGAAGTTTTGGGCAGTACCCAGCTACAAAACACAAAAATGGGTTATATTAAGTACTACTTAGTAGCAAAAAAATGCAGAAGAAAAATACATCTATTCAATCAAAACATTTTCACATACAACAAGATCACATACAACCAGATAAAAGCAGATCATTTTTCTGATGGTAATTAAACTGCGGGTACCTTTCACTGTTTTATTTGGCTACTTTTGATCTGTTTCAGAACCAGCTGTCTGGAAATCTCCTAAGAAAATTCAAAAACAGCAACGGTTGGCAGAAGCTTTGGGTGGTGTTCACCAACTTCTGCATGTTCTTCTATAAATCGCACCAGGTAACAGACTGCACCAGCCTGTGTGGCTGGAGAAGACCTTTTGTTTTCAAAGCAATAGCTGGGAGAAAAGCAGACATCACTCAGGGGTGCTGTAGGCAAGAGACGTGGGTGCACTGGTCACGGCGACACAGCCGTTACTGCTGCTGTGCCAATCGCTTCTCAATTGAAGAACTTGTTTCCTGAAACTTTGAACAGTCACAGTGCATCTCATCCCTAAAAGTACAACAGACATCACTACTGGTCAGAAATTGTGCAAGTTTAAGCAAGAGTTTTCCCTTGTACAAATTCTGAGATTATTACAATTTGAAACTTAATACTGGCTTAGAAACTTTGTTTACCATCACTGGTGCTCAAGTCAAAGAAGAGAGAACAACGGCCAATGACTAACCCACGTGAGCAAACATCCCACCGCACAAGTAGGGGGTTCCTGCCAAAATCTGTTGGATCTTTGAATCTCTCTGTTCAAGCAGGGCATAAGCACAAAGTCATTCCAATTGGTATGTCATGCTTTCATTGCTACAGAAAGCCTTGATGCTAGAGTTTCTGCACTAAAAAAAAAAAAAAAAAAAAGAAAAAAAAGAATTGTAGGACATTCTGCTCATAAGCAGGATCAAGAAATTATTTGTTCTTACATGTCACACATGACATAAAAGGCTTGAAGGAATGAGTGCTGCAGGGTGGCCATGATATGTCAAAAGGAGTAGGCGTTTGCAAGCCTGGGATGAACACGCTTAGTGCTCTGCAGATGCCAAATGATGGAGTTTTATGTTTGTCAGTTGAAAATAGTGAAAGTCCAAGATTTCAAACAATTTTTCTTATGAGGAAACACTGACAGGATCAGCCTGTAGCAGATCCTTATGAGAAGGGCCTATGAAGATGGGCAGCTGAAACTAAAAAGCTGAAACTACCAGACAATTAAGTTCACTGTGATTATAGAAAGAAGGTATTTTTTCCACACGCACGTGGAAACATGATGGTGGCCTTTAAATGGGTGTGCATCTAGCTTTCATTTCACTTATGTGCTCCCTTTTCTCACGTGCATTTGATCTCACAGCATTTTCCATCATTTCTTTTCAGGACAATCATCCTTTAGCCAGCCTTCCTTTATTGGGATATTCACTTACCATTCCTTCCGAATCTGAAAACATTCACAAAGATTACGTCTTCAAGCTACATTTCAAATCCCACGTGTACTACTTCAGGGCTGAAAGCGAATACACGTTTGAAAGGTAAGTCAGTCTTCTGTCAGAAGGAATTTTGTAAAATTCCAGGATTTTTTTTCCCCAACAAGGTTACTAGATGTGAAGTTTAATAAATTGATTGATACAGGCAAGTAGATCAGCACAACTAGAGAAAGAGTCCTTTAAAATTTTAAAAGACATTTTTAAATCGGTAATGCTAGAAACTAGTCGTTGTTTTTAATACTGTAGTAGCTGTAATAGTAATCCTATGTATTTCTGCCCCTTCAGCATGTAATTTTTACACCTCCCACTGAATTTCAGATACATGGAAAGCCAGGAAACAGGCATTACTCCTAAAGTGTGGTTTGAGCTTGTTCATTCTGGGAATTAATTTAGCTGTTTTATATGAAGCGTTAACATGTCAAAAAGCTTAATGTTCTCTCTTACCCAAGAAAGCTATTACTAAGTTTTAGCCATGTCAGTCTAAAACTATAAATAAGGCAAATTGTGGGAAAGAGGTGATTAAATAAATGGGTAGAATTGGAAAAAACACAAAAGCCCTTTCTCAGTTCTAGAGGAAAGTAGCGGCAACCACAGCTAAATTGCATTTTTTCACTCTAGAATTAAGAGTGGCTGGTCTCAACTTCTTATCACTTGGACCATCCAGAAAAAAAAAAAAATAAAAAAGAGATTTGATGTCTACAAAACAAGTAAAACCACTACTAAGTTCATGAATTTTGGGCCCCTTTTCCCCCTGTTTATCCTTTTTAAACCTCTGTTCATAAATGTGTTTGGATCTAGAGTGTCTTGATTTCAGATAGACTTGGGAGTAAAGTAGCAAGATCGTCCTGTAGGCACTGAAAATAAAACTGTGCACAACTAATAGCGCAGACTATGTCTTTCCAGAAATCTTTCCTTAGGGATTGACCGTTCTTTTGTTTGTGTCTCTCCTCCTGCCTCCTCTCAGGTGGATGGAAGTGATCCGAAGTGCCACCAGCTCTGCCTCACGCACTCGAGCTCTGAGTCACAAAGAGCTTCATGCCTATTGACGGCTGAACAAGCCGCCGTGTTGATTGTCCAGCAGCTGCTGATTTTCTAGAGGACATTTGAAACTCTTTTCTCCCTCCAAGTTTAGTAAAAACTTAAAATTTGGTAAAAGAAAAGAAAAAGTTAAGTATGGTTTTGCAGAAACTGTCACAATTCCTCAGCAAAACTTTTTAAGTTCTCCGTATGTTCAAACTAGCTTACCATCATCCCAGTGGCTGCAGTTCGTTTCATGTCTTGTATTTTGTCATTCTGTGCTGTTTTTAGCTTGTGCCAGTATTAAAATATTGTCCTTATTAGAGTGCCAAATGCCAAAAGACATTTTGTTGCCTCAAAGATTGCACCTAAAAAAAAAAAGACAACTTCACAATCTGAAAATTTTCTCATCTGAGGCAAACACTATTTCTTCTCGTTTCATAAAAATATATATATTTTTTTTTTACCATGTTAATCTGTAGACTGCTGGATTTTTAAATGTAGATGGACTTTCACAGTATAGAATATAATTATATATACAGTAAGCAGTCTAACAGGAATGAGATAACTTTCAGATTTCATTTTTTTTTCCCCAGTCTTTCTACATTTAATCAGCAAGGAATTACTAATTTTCTGTCTTTAACAAGGAAACCGTTTACAGCTCGTTCTCATTTTCCCTTTGGGGTTACAAATCCATGTGGGATAAATAACGTATAGGATCCTTATCTAACCATTTTTTTGGTGCAAGTTGACCAAATTGTTCATCTGTTGGCTTTGAAAAGTGAATACTACTTGCAAGATGAAAAATTTTTAAAATAATCCAGTGCAATATTATTTGGGCTGTTGATGTACTGTGAATGGTATGTACAAGAAGAAATTAAAGGCTGTGGTGACATTCTGCTGTTTGTTTTACAAACTCAAAACCTGTACGCTCTGAGAACCGCAGCTACTTGTCGTTAATTCGCAGGGTGTTTCGGACTAAACTGCTCAAAGCTGGGGGTACTACTCAAGGCCCAAGTTTTCATCCTGCCCGCTGCGCGTCCTAGCGTGACTTTCAGTTTGTTGTTGGAATTTCCCTCTGTCTCCCTCCTGGTGACACAACCAGCGGCGGGAACACCCATTTCCCATACCTGGCTTTAACCTTAGCTATCACCGTATTTTGGATAAGCTCTCAGCCCACTCAGAAGGTTAGTGACACTGAGTCTACTATGCTTAGGTGCTTTTCCTCACGTTTGAAGGAACACTTCACCATGAGGGTGACGTAAAAGACATCTCTCACCATTCTGGGCCTTTGAGGAAAGCGCTAGGCAGAGGGGGCCCCAATATAGATAGGGGAAATGAAGCTGGAATAATTCTGCCCCTACTTTTTCTTCATCTAGCTATTCTCTTTGTTAATGGCTTACCTATGTGCGATGTATAAAATGACTTACAGCTTTGCTCACCAAGAAAGGGAATAAAATACCTCACAATACTATCACGCGTATTCCTGCTTCTAGAGAGTAAAGCCTGCTTCCTATCCCCTCCTCCACCCCCCCCAACGGAGACAGATCTCTCTCTCTCTCTCCGTCCAAGGACAGGATGGGTCCCTGACCCCTTCGGACTAGGAGTACGGATATAATAATTGCATCTACCCCACCCTACAGCATCGCCTCCATCTGTTTATGACGCGATGAAGGACAAACTTAGAAAGTAGGTAGAAGCACCTGAGGAACTTTTTCCCAGTTGCAGGTCCCATGGGCTTGTCGATTCCAAGCCTGTGGCCCTTCCCAGGAGGCTCAAGGCAAGGGAATTCAGCCACCTGGGTGAGCAAATCACTACAGGAACTGTGGTGCTTCAGGACCAACGCAGAATGTGAACGACAACTGTGGTGGTGATGAGAAGGGGCAGTAACAGGGCAGAGATGAACAACAACTCAGCAGCAGCCTACAGCCTCGGAAAAACAAACCTGAAGAAGCAACAGCACCCAATGTTGCCATCACGTACAGTAAAAGGCTACAGACACACACACACACAAGTTATTACTGAGCTGTAAAATGCTCTCCACAAAGCCTCACAGCTAGGTCTCTATATCTGCCCTTTACAAGTGTTAGCTATAACAGCAAAAAGATTTATTTTTTTTTTTTAAATGGAAATTTATATCAAGGGCCAGCTGAAGCTAAATTTTATTTTAGATCACTGGGGCTCGTGGGGTACAATCTTCGTTACCGTTTTCTGCTGCAGTAGCTTATGCTGAGCTTGCCAGAGGCTTTTATTTCCATTCCTGAAACTGGGTAACACCTTTTCTGGGTATGTATGTTTCATTTTCATACAAATTAAGTTTGGACAATATTTTTTCTGTTACCTCTAAGGCAAAGTTCAAGCCATGGTTTTATTTGTCACAACAGCAGAGACCCAGCTAGGCTGCGGCTGCAACTGCAGCGTATCCACCCGAGTCATCATTCAGCATTTTCACCTTTTTGTATTGTCTTTTTTTCTGCAGAAGAGCTTTAAAATAAGAGGGGTTTTTTTTCCTTCTTTACCAGTGTGATTTTTTTTTCTTTTTTAAATGGAAGGCATTGAACTGCTGACATTTGTCAGCATTTGTCTAGTTCTTTTTAGTCCTAAGGTGAACCCCAAACTGAAATAGGTAAGAGAATAAAAGCGACTGTCTTGACGGTCATATCTTAAAATCAGTTTAAGTCTATGTCTGTGAATAAAACTTGTAGTTTGCTAGAAAGCTGTAATATATTACCACTTATTTCTAATTCTGACTCACATCATGCTGCTGTGTATCAAGTGAGGCGTGGAAACACGCAGGGTCACAGTGTGCCAGGTGAGCAGCCATGACTAAACACACCAGTCTCATGTTTCAGCAGTGGGGAAAAAAAACCACCAACCTCAAATGAGTCACTCCAAGAGATTTACTCTTCTTGTTGTTGTTATTCACCACGAAGAATCAGTTGCCGGCCTCAAAGCCAAAGAGGAACTCGCTTGCCATAGGAAGCTGCACCACACGCAATGGGATCAGCAAAGCCTGGACTCCTGGGGATTTGTACCCACAAGGCTCAGCATCTCCCCATCATGGCTCTGCTGTACTTGACTTTCACAGAGACATGAGTTTATTATTAATACACCTCAGGCCTGCCTGTTTTCACACGCTGTGATTGCAGAAACCATGATAAATGTCTCTGGATAGAGCGAAGAGGTCTCAAGGCAATCTCATTTTAGCGAGACAACCAGGTGCAATAGCCTACTGCTCCATCAGGCAAGAACAAAACAGAGAAACAAGCAGGACCGGAAAAACCTGATTTTTGACCTTTTTTTTTTTTTTTCCTTTTTATACAAGACCAATTATGTGGTCTTACGCCCTCAAAAGAAAGCACACTATGAATGTGCAGCTACACCTCCAGCTGCTAGAGCACAAACACTCTCTCCCCCTGCCCCAGCGCACAGAAAAGCTGGTAGAGAAAAAAAAAAGGGCAGTATGGCACACGTTTGTTTTTTAACAGAACCAAATAGCAATAAAATATAATTATGGGGGTGCAGGTGTCACACAGCAAGTCACTTGGTTACACAGGTAATTAAGGCCAGGATGTTTGGGGTTAAGCTAATGCCACCTGAGGTGAGCACTTCAGTGGTTTCATTGGACTTGCAGAACGGGGAATACAAAGCGGTCTGAAATCGTTGCCATCTGAACTGGCACACTGTCTTACTATAGGACAAACTGTAATACAGAACTGCATGTATTTAACTGAAACAGCGCGCTATCAATCACTGGTACATGGAGAGCAAAAAACCTTAATCAGGAAAAGAACTAAACTTCCCACGCAGCTGGGCCATCTGTGAGATACAAACTTACTAAATTCCCCAACAGAAAAAAAATATTCTCGACGTTCTTGCTCAAAAAGTGGCGTTTGCATTTGAACAAGAGTTTTCTCTTGTCCAAGTTCCAAGATGATTACAACTGAAAACTGCCCGTCCATTTATAAACTTCCTGCTTACCGTTATGGATATGTGGGCAACCTGCAAAAACTTGCAAGAGCATCCCCTCCTGGGAGGAGACACCCACCCCCCCCACACCCCACCCCAAATCTCATCTGACTGACCACTCAGATGACAAGTTCATTAAACGTTTCCTTCTTTATTTCTAGGTCATGTAGTTTACAAGGAGTTTTATTACGTTGGTGTAGAGTGACAAAAGTAAAATTTAAATACACGGTTATAAACAGGCAGCAATGTTACAGAAAACAAGATATACACTGTAATTGTCCTCTGTAATCGTGCTTTAAAAGAAGGCAGAAACCCATTACATACGATTTGTCTACTGCATATGCTCAGTACAATTACTAGCACATCTGCAAAATATAGTTAAAAAGAGCAAGCCTGCAGATTTGTGCTATACTTTCAGCTCCTCCCCAGCAACTTACTTACTTACAAAAATAATTTGCGATTGTGCTGATCCTTGCATTGTGCCTGTGCTTATTAGCACTCCTGGTCATCTTCCAATGGTGGCGTTTTTGAAGACAAAAAGCAGTCTCCTTAAAAGTAAGGCTCACGTAAGACTCTTACAAATTGGTACCACGTTGTTTAAAAAGTAATACGGAACGCTACGTGGAGTAAGAGCTAAACGAGACATTTCACAAGTAGCGTGAAAGCACAGGCAGATGAAGGAAGGAGTTATGGTGGCTAAAGTAGGAGGTGAACTCAGACCACGCCAGCGGCGTTGCAGTCGAGTGCCAATACGCACGCTCCTACCCTCCCTCTGCGCGGCGAGGGCGGGACACCACAGTTAAATCGTTCTGCAGTAATTGGGTCACCTGTCCGTACCCACACGGATGCACACAAAATGTTTGGAGCTGGAAAGGAACCACAGCACTTCAGAGAAAGAGCTGCTTTGGTATTACACCGCAAGCGTTCTGTACTAGTGATCATGGCATCATCCTTCAGCCAACTGGTGAGCAACTACAAAGTGCAACTGCAAGGAAAATGAAGTTAAAAAAATAGATTACGCGTCTGATATTTACAAAAAGCAAGCCTTCAGTTCAAACGACTGATTTTATTTACTGCCTGATCTTGAAAGCCCTGACAAATAAGCAGTTCCACTAATTTAAATGTTTGCATAAATAGGGATAGCTTGTCGCTTAGTGTAGTCAAGATCAAGTGAGGAAGTACTACCTGCACCGAAAAATCGTCAGTGCAACATTATAACACAGACATGGGTTTAGCACAAAACAACCTCTCAAAAATATCAATACACTTCTTTTTCTTTCAGAAACTGAGGCCATGCTTCTTTCAAATGAAGCTGCTCTTCTCTTAACAATATAGATCTGATTTTTAAAGCATCAATACTTTTCAATAGCAAATGATTGTAATGTTACATTCAAGATACAGCACGCTTTTTCTCCAGTGAATCTCAGTTTAAGATAGTCTATATTTAAATAATCTATATAATTACATATAAAAATACACATCTCTACCATAAATGAGGTCTTTTTCTAAATGTCCTAGCCTTTTGGCCAATTGCCCTTGCTGTAGGTCTGACTCATCTTAAGCTCCTAAACCGCAGGACTTTCACCATGCAAATTGTGCCACAATCTACTCAGAGAAGTATTTCCTCAACATACAGCCCTGGAACGCAACTAAAATGCAACTCAAAAAAATGTATGTATGATGTATAACTTTTTAAATGATTGTTCAAAACCAGCACACCTTAGAACTTTGTTTCATTTTCCAATTGAGAAATTCTTGAGGTTCCAGCCAGCACCGTAAATTTAACTTCCTCACTAACTTTCTACACATCTCCAAGTAAGCTTGCTTTAATTTGAATTCCTTACATTAAGAGATGAGTGGTGGAAAGCTTCTGTTATTCTATTATTTTAAATGCAAACACATCTGCTTATTTCCACGCGCTGTGCTGTGACGACACAGATTTATTGAGTGGCAGAACGTTTTAATACCGAGATGTCAACAGGTCACTTTCCCATTGCACTGTATTCAGATGCAGATTTCACGATAGGAGAGCTAAATTTGTCTCCTCAAGGGGAAAGCTTATCCTTAATGTTTAAGAGCACACACAACAACGTATTTAAAGATAGTAATCAAAGGGGAGTTACAAACCATTGCTCAAACTTACGCATTGTTCAATTTACCTGAAATTCACACAGCCGCAAAGGAAAACCATTACCTCACCATGCTGGCCCACGTGTGGCGTCGAAGAGTACGGCTACAAGAATGAGTGCACACAAACCCATTTCTTTCAACTATTGTTTCAACCTGGTCAAAAATTTCATAGCTCTGTTGGCCTATCAGTGTCCTCTAACTGTTACATTATTAAATTAATAATTAAGGCTATTAATATGCATAGAATAAGGGCTACCATAGTGATAGGAAATCCTGCAAAGAGACCTCACCAGCTTCCAGAATGGTTAGAGAACCTGGGTCTTTCTGTACCAAGCCAGGCAGATACGCCTTTACTTTTAAAAGGTTAATCCTTTCTGTTCCAAAACTCCTATTTAAAAAAAAAAAACAAACCAAAACCAAACCACAACACAAACAGGTAGGTTATCTCACTGTTATTGAAAACATAAAATCATCAATTTCTTCATTAAAACAAGGCAAAAAAGCTCTCTTAGCTATCAGAGTAAGAAGCACCTGAATACTCCCTTAGTGAAACACACCAAGATAAATCTCAGTGTACTCCTGAGAAAACAGATGCCACCTCATCAACTGTGTGTAACTAACGTTGAAGTTTCATAGTTCTTGGAAACAGTAAGTCAGCTATCTCAGAGCACTCACAGACACAGTGGAAACTTCAAAATCAGAATTTTCAAGAAATAACTTTTTCTGGGGAGACAAGTAATAGGACATCGCATACAACGCTCAGGCTCAGGTTTGCAGTCTTTCTGCCTATCACTTTTGGTAAAGAGATGCACAGATTTAGACTGAACGTTGAATTTATGGATAATTTTTCTTTTACGCTGCAAGACATTCATTTTTATGATAAAAACAGGCATGATAAAGAAATATATGCCACTGTCTCAGAGCCAACACCTTAATGAGATATTTCAGAATAAATGTAGATAATAAAGATTTATTTGTGTGAGCATTCAAACATGGTTAGATGAAAAAAAATATTGTATCTGAATTTCACTACAAGCTTCACAAATATCTACTACTAAAATCGAACAATACCTATGGTTCAGAATTTGCATTGGCACAATTTATAACTGAAAATATGAGAGAGCTCATTCTTTAGGAAAAACAGTAATTTAAATGTAAAGCTTTGAGAGACAAGGTGTATTAAATTTAAAATGACTAGAAGTAGTACCATAATTAGAAACTCACACTCAGAATATAGATAAAAAGGAAGAAATACCGGAGAAACAGAATAAAATTGTGTCTTTGCTGAGGTACGAAGAGAAGGTTCCATAGTACAGGATTAACTCTTTCAATGGCAAATCCTTCACATACAAAAATCAAACCAAGATTCACGTATCACAGAATTCAAAATGTACATGTAATAAAGGCAAGGCAATACTCAGTTATGGCCTGTCAAATATTTACCCCACTAACATTATCTACAGAAGCACTTTACCATTTTGTACACAGTGATTCCTTATGCACATCGAAAGGCTTTCAGTTAAAAAAGACATTATATACATATCTGTACACAATTCCAACAAACGTACTCCATCTCCCAGTGGAATTCTTAAAGCAAGATACCTGAGGTTTCTCAATATCTTCAATTTCTCTATCACAAACCTAAATATACATTTCAGATTTTACAAAAAGACACCTGCCTGGAATATGTGCATTATCATTAAAAAAAAAATTATAGCTTTAAGGAGCTGAAAAAGACTGCCTCCATCTGAGAGCCTTCATTTTCACTCTTGCACGTTTCGGAACATCCTTCCACCAAAGGACATTCCAGTGACTGAGGGGCAGAACAACGTTAGGGCACACGCCTTCAATGCAGACACTGTGGGATCTCCGTCGTCTTAGAAAAGTCAAAACCAGCATGTCAGTAGGATGAAGTACTTCCTCCAGTGAGGGAATATCTGAAAAGGAAAAGTAACAGTTACCATTGTGACTTTCAGAAAGGCGTTCTACACCAAGCAGCCACTAGAAGTTATTCCATTTTATGCTATTGAAGTTCCAGCCTTTTTCCCTGCAGAACGACAGCTACCGCTGCTGTCATACTTTAAGGACAAAGGCCATGGATGTGAAAAACACATAAAACACACCCTATTAGAACATCACTGCTTTTCTAACGAATAGCAACAAACGATGCTCAAGTGTGTTACTGAGAAGTATATGATGATGTAGGAATTCTGTACACTGTAGGCAACATTTAGCAATTACAACTTTTCTACATGGCAAGTTTACATCATAATCTTGCCAAAATATCAGTGGGGCAGGAAATCTGCATTTCTTTGTCTAAGCAGATGATTAAATCATCCAAAGAAAGAAGCACGCATTTTAATCACATCAAGCTTTCAGAGATCAGAATTGGAGGGGGAAGGTAAGTGGATTCACTCAAGTTCTTGGGCACTTCTCTTCTGAGCGTCCCAACTAATTCATTCAGACAAACTTGGGAAATCCAGTTTTAACCAATCATAGAAGGACTGAAAATCTCATTAGAAAGGTGTGGTTGAAGAGCCATCTTCAGCTATCAAATTGAGAAGATGTTGCAAGTGAATACTTGTGTTGGTTTTGCGTGGCAAGGTTTTGGTAGCAGGGGGGGCTAACTCTATCCTTGCCAGAACCAGGACAATACTGTAAATGACATGTAACGGAGCATACTTCTTGTAGTATTCAAACAAGAAACTATCTTTTCAGAAGTTGACTAGCTCCAAAATAGCTTTGTCCATGAGGGATATCTACTAAGCTATGGAATAGTTCAAACTCCTTTTTAGGGGGGGATCCTGCCATTCACTTCTCTCACTTTCTGGAAGGAGCGCTAGTCATGATCACATACTAGCTGAATATCATCCCTGGTATAAGAGAAAGTTCACCCAGACATGACCCATCAACAAATGTTCTCTATCAGTATTTCTTTCTCCCCTTCAAAGAAAATTAATTGCCTGCCTCCACTGTTATAAGACATAATAAGTGAGAAAAACAGCAATAGTCCAAGGAAGCAGAACAGAAGGAAAACAAAATGCTAAATAGGTACATAAAGGGTTCTAAGACCTATCTCCTAGGACAAAAATGATGACTGTTGCTTGTCAGGAACAAGTAAGATCATCTCCAACATCCACAAAAGAAGTGCCCAGTGGAAAGCCTGTCTCCGCATGGTCATCTTCAGCTTCAGTTGCAGCATCAAAAGTCTCTGAGGTCCCCAGTTCCAGGAAGGCTCTGTACCAGACTGATCGAAACTTGATACTAAAATACTGGGCTGATGAATGACTGGGGTCAGTTCTGGAACCCCTAATGGAAGCAAACTAAGATGGAAGCTCCAGAAACTCTTTCAAGCCTGCCAGGATGAACTAAAAGGAGAATCAGGATATCTGGCATCAAGGAGTGACCTTTTAACACTACAGATGCTGACTGGGCTCCGTGCTTAACTACTCAGAAAGCAAGAAACACGATTGCTTGCAGATCTCTTTGCATTGATTTTTACTGCATGACAAAGTGTCAGCTTGGCAATCCTCTGCTTTAACTTCAAAGGTGTGAATTCTTAAAGTTTACCAAGCTGTGGTTAGAGACAGTATAAGGGAAACACCTGCTCAGGGTGACCTTTTTCAAGGTAGCAGTCCATGATCAATTACTGCCATGAGTTCTTCATTTATACCATCCAGCCTGGGTGGTATAAATTCACCACAGCTGTAAGCTCCTGGATTCAAGGTGGGATTTAAAGTCTCTTCAAGCAGCAATTCTGAAATTTATAGCCCTGATCTTTTCTTGTGTAGCATTCAAAAGAACAGCAAATTGAGTGTTTGTTAAGACTGTATTCCTAACCTAGGCAGTTAGAAAATCTCTTATGAAATTTGGCCTTTTGATGTAGTATTTTTTTGGGAGTAATTACTTTTTGAAGCTATGGAGGTACCACTGAAGGGCCATACAGACTATCTGTAATGAATGAACAAGGAACCACTTAGTTTCTGTTTCATTCAGTCACATACTAACTGAACAGTCCATTTACCAAAGTGGGTAAAAGAAATTGAGAGTGACACAGGGTATCCTGTGCAACACACACCCAGACACTAAGAAAGTGTGAATGTCCCTTACAGGACCTGCAAAGGGGAAAGGCTATCCATTCTCATTTGGCACACAATATGCACACCAACAGGACGAATGTACATACAGGCTAACACCTGAGCTAGAAGTTAGAACTCCTGATACGATTAAGGTTTTCTCCTACTAAGCAAACACAATTGTACAAAACTAAGCACAAGTGGTTTTTTTCCTCTATTATAAATAGAAATTAATTCTTTCAATTTAACACTACTCAAATATTTGTAGAATCAGATCTGCAATTTTCTGTAACCCTTAGTGAAACAGTTTCATTACCTCTGAAGCCTCTGCACAAGGTGTGACACCATGTTATCTGCAATGCCCGGAGAAGCCTCTTCAGCTAAGTAAATAGCCTTTCTCAGTTCTTCTATGGAATCTGTGTTACCACCACACACTTCACTCTTCTCTTTCAACTGAAAGAAAAACAGGAAGATATATATTAATATGAGATATTCATAAATATTTCTATAAACAATCTAATGAAAAAGCTTGTTAGGAAGTGACCACCAGTGTTCACAGTGTCACGATTTGACACCTTCTGGGATATAATATGGGCAGGCATACCCTTTTGGCCCTACTTAAGTATAGCACAGGGCATTATCACATGGAGTAAGCATGATCCCCAGAAAACAGCAGAAAGCAGAACAAATAGATGATTTCGAGTTGTGTAGTACAAGACATTCCGGAGGGAGCAAAGTGGCAATGAAGTTCTTCAGAGACGTCCAAGCAGTAAAGCGGCCTTTCAGGACTTCCTGAAGTGGACTTTAAACAGGTGTCAGCTCAAGAGTTGCCATGGGCACTGAGGAAAGTTTTTTCTTTAAAAAGGAATCTGAGTCTTGAGAGGGAAAACACAGAGGAAATAATCATTGTTCTAGTTTCACATTTAGCAATGGCTTATAGGTATGTTAGGGCACCCTCCTGAGAGTAACTCAGATCTCAACAAAAGGAAATCAAGAGGACTCTGTGTACAACAGCTGAGGTACAACTGCAGCAGTAGGAAGGCTTCTGCATTCTTCGTTGGCTGCTGCTGCTTGTGTTCTCTTCTCATTACATCCAGGATGCTCAAGAGTGAGATCTTTCATGCAAAGCACAGGTAACAGGAAGACACAAATGCCTTTTCTTTTCCCAGTAATAACCCTTTCTTAGTCTAAACTGGGAAATCACAGCTTGAGGACAAGATGACAGAAGTAGACAATAGTGGGAACATTACAACAAAGGATCTCCTGCCTTCAAAAAGGAACCCACAGAATGAGTCACAGCATGCAGTAGTCAGCCAGCATCCCCTGATAAGGAGAAAGAAAGCACATCAGGGTGGTAGCTGGTCACTGAAGATCACAAATAACTGAGAAGCATGACAACTTTGTTCATTTTCAGGGTGTGTTTTGTTTTCTGTTGTTTGGGGTATTTTTTTCATTTGGGGTTGGGCATTTTGTTAGTTGGAGGGGTTTTTTTTTAATTGCTTTGCTGAAATGCACCAGGCTTCAGATTACTTCCAGCAACACAGAGAGGCAGGGCCCCATAGCTGAGCAAGCCTCTTCAGCCAAGGCTCCTAATTGTATCAGAGTTCAACCAAAGGAGAAGGATGCAGCTGTTTTTAACACCTGTCTTCTGTGCCAAAAGCTTTGAAGCCTCCATGATGACAAAAAGCTCTGAATGGCCAGCTTTGTTTTTTTTGGAGGAGTTCCATTGAGTAACTCACTAATTTAGCTAGTAAAAATTCCTGTAGGTGCAGATATCTGTGGTTTGAATGCTAAACAAATGGAACACTGAGAATGTAACATATGGCTTCCTCCAGACAACAGAGACAGTAGCCATGCCCATAAGAAAAAGGAAATGCAATGAGATTCTGGAACAGTTTGGAAAAGTTGTGGCTATCCACCAGAAGTTGCATGGAAGAGGAGTCTAAAGTAAGAACCAAACAGCAGACACAAGACCAACAATCTTCTCCCACAGCATGAAAAGATACAACAAACAAGCGTGTGAGGAAAAATTTTTCTGTAGCCCCTACACACTGTAGAGATGAAAGTAAATGACAATCTTAATAAGGACTGCAATGATAAATGTTTGTGTTGCTGCAGCAGTGCAGGGGAATAATGTATTCACAGGATCAGCAAACTTCAATTAAAATAATTGCCTTGAAAATGAAAATGGGAAGCAAGAAAGGCAAAGAATGACACAGCAACTACTTTGCAATACCATCAGAAGGAAGAACCCAGAGCAGAGATATCTAGAAGACAGATAATAAAGGGCATACTGGAGAGAAAATTAAAAATAAAGGATAAAAATGGAGGATAGAGTGTAGAAGACAGTGGGTGCAGGACCAATATCATGCTTGGTGTATTGGAAGAGAAGGAAGACCTAAAGGACATGCAGAGTAACCAGAAAAATGTTTAGGAAATGGAAGGATAGGGAATTGAAAGAAAATTCTCAGAGGTAGGCAAGGGGGTAATACATTAAGAACTGCAATGGGAAAATGCCCCAAAAAAAATCCCCATTTAACATGTTTACATAGGAGAATGACAGGCTGATTTAATACTGGAGTCTACATAACCAATACAGAGGTAATCCCCTTTAAATAAAGTTTAATTGCTTTACTGCACTCAATATTCTTAATGAGCAGTGTGCAAAATTCAATGATAATCCTCTGAAGCAGGACTTTATTCATTAGAACAGAAGACAATGTTCTTTTATTAGAATAATTTCTCTAACTTTGTTTCTGTAACAGTTACAATGACTGAAATCATTATTTAAACAAAAAATTTCATATCAAAGGTAGGGTGAGAGGGGAATTTTTGTTTTTCTTAGAGTCTATCAACTTTTTAAAATAGTCACATCTTCATAAATATCTGGCTTCCCCTTCATATGATTTTTTTTAAAGTTGTTTTTAAGTATTTGGAAAAAACAAATACAAAAAATATAAAATTCAGAACAAGAACAAAATATAGTTTTCAACACTGAAATTCAAAAGTTAAGTTCTTGCTGATCTGGTCCACAACCATATCTTGCAACACTGAAGAACTTAAAATTTGTAACAGATAAAATGACAGATAAAGAGATATAGCAGTGTAAAAAAAAAAAACCGGAATGCTGCAATCCAAACATTTAGATACCTTTTTGTTTTTCATGTTTATTGCTTTAGGCTAGCACTGTTGATATTGCTACCATGCATATGAAGTATTGTTAGAAGCAAAACAAAGATCTCAAAAGCAGACATGCATGAAAGCAAAGGGTACAGCTAAAACTGTAACACAGTAAGATCCAAATGTGTTGTAGAAACCTTAGGTGTCATTCATCATATTTTTCAGAGACATAAATCCTGGAATTAAGTTTAAAAGCAATAACTTACCTCTGCAAATAAAGGGGATATAACTGTAGACAGGCATTGGGATAGAGGCCTCTTTGGGATATCCTTTACCTTTAAAGAAAACAAAATTCTGACCAATTTTATTTCGGGGGAAAAAAGCTTCCTTACTATATTCTGTTTCTAATTAAAGAAAAAAATAGTTCCAACACGCTATAGTTCTTGAAAAATCCATTTCTATGTACATACAAATATGTAAAATGTTCTACCACAGACTATTCCAAAGCACTGTGGAAAATGGAGGCTGAATTAAAATTTGAGGCTGCAGCACCTAAAATACATGCAAGCTCAAAATAAATTTAAAAAAAACCCCACCAAAACCCCCCACAAAAGGCTCACAATCCTACTAAATTATAGCCATGCTGATATTTACTAGGTTCCACCCATATGATACAATATTTTTCTTATGTTTCTCCAGTTCTGATAAGAACACACGTACAGAATTTTCAGAGGCTGGGTAGCAACCACTTGCCCCAGCCACACAGGCTGCAGAAAATACAATCCAGAAGCTCCTAAACATCCCTTACTCTGGGGCTTCGTAGGGGTTTTGGAGGGTTTTTTTGGACGCATGCACATTCTATTCTTTGCTACATTGTAGTCTTTTTTTCCTAAAGGACCAGAATGCCTTCCCCAAAACCCCAGCCTAGCTTTATACTGTACAGGTTTATATTTACTTCACAGAAGGAAAAGTTTAAAAATAAAATATCACCTCGTCTTCCTCCAGTGGTAATATTTCACAAACCACAGAAATATTTTGGTACATATTTCATGAAATACAGAAAAAGGACATGTGTACGGAATACCCAAACATCAAGACTTACTCAAAATGTTTTGTCAAAGTAAACTGTAGAATACACATTTTTAGCAAGAGTTCTGAAAGTTTTACAATTTAAAGGCTTTTAAAGCTATAAAATAAAAATCACTCCACTAAATTATTAAAGCAAGAATTATCTCCTTGTATAATACAGCCAATATTTTCAGCACCTTATTTCTTTGCAACTCCAAAGGCTCAGCTGCTCCATTCTCTAGATTCTTGGGGTCTTTTTCTCTTATTGTAAAGATCCACTCCCCTGAATCACTCCCACCTGAAGCCTGGCCATCTGGTTCACTTCAAGGGAGGCAAAAAAACCAAGAAGTTTGTATTACCTACATCTTATTGTCCATGTTCATTCAATATACATTCCAAACATAAAAAATACAGTCAAAACCAAAATCAGAATTCTATTGTGCAAGCCAATAAGTATAAAGACAAGTATGAAAAATAATGTAATTGGGGAAATTAAAAAAACAAAATCGAGATACTTCACTAAATGTTAAATTAACTTCAAAAAGAGAGAGAGGCATTACAGATTGAAAACATTTTTCCCAAGCTACATAAACAATTAACATGAAGTTATTAGGGAAGGGGGAAAAAAAGATTAGAAGTCTTAATTTACTTTTTTACCTAGAAAAACAGCTGAGACATTATTTTAGAATACCTTTGAAGAAGACAGTTCATCCCCAATCTGTTAGCAAGGTAAATTTCCCACTTCAAAAAAATTGGCTAAAAAAAGTACAGATACAGCATGGCTTTAACTACATCACCATAAATCAATCTTTTGCCTCTTTTTTTGTGGATGGCATAGTAATTTTTTCTATAATTTCTGCTGAGTTAAAAGAACAAAAGTATTCATTCTGATACACATCAGTCACTGCATTACATTTCTTCTCTCACTACCATAAATATCCTTCTCTAAATTCATTTCTTTCTGATCTGTGAATTAAGAGTGATTTGCAAGAAAACCACAGTTAAAAGGGCACCTAGTGGCCACTGTACAAAATGTATTTAGTACAGCCAACAAATCAAAAAGCACGTGATCAGTGTAAAAAAAACTCTCCACGATTTCTTCTTGAAGTCACATAGAACTTCTGGCTGTCACTGAAAGAGGCAGGTCTACCTTCCATGTATACGTTAGCTCTAGCAAGTTGATCCAATAGAAAAATATTTATCCATTTGGAAAGTTAGTATTCCAGCATGCCAAATCAACTCACCCTTTTATCACAAGGGCTGCTGTGGATGCAGAGGAGGGGAAAGCAGACTTACACATAACATTACATCGTCTCACGAGCACTCAATAACCATTCTAATTCCACTACTCCCCTGTGCCAAGCTATCAAAGCTGGTCTGATACTCCACAGGAACAATGAACTGTAACCTCAAAGTTCAGTTAGTAACTGATCTGAGACCAGTTTTAGGACTAGTAATTTACCTTCCAAATCAGACCTGGTTTTGGGCTGGAACTGTGATCACTGGAAGGCATGAAGTCATTAATAATGTAGGACAAATGTACAGCTGTAATGGCAGCCGAGAAATCATAACCAGCCTGATGCCTGCCATTAGCACACAGACTGGAACTGCAAAGAACAGTTGTGTTTTCTTTATTATGAGGAATTTAATCCATTTGTGAATAAATGGTGGCAATCTCTTCACTTGATTTTCACAAGCATGTAATCTGATCATACCTGATCATCTGATTTTCAAAATTACTTCTAGACTAACAAAGTTAAATAGTTAAGTGAGTCATAGCTATTTGTAACTTGGTTTCCTAAGGAAAAGGAAACCAACTTGTGAACCTATTGAACAGCTCCATCAAAATTTGATAGAGAGAAGCAAAAATTTGAAAGGAAAGAAATCTGAAAATATTTATAACACTTCTCCTTTTTCAATACAATAAATAATTTGACATTTCATGACTGTCATGCTGTAATGGCCCAACTTTCCTGGAAGGATAGGAAAAAAAAAAAAACCCTCTCATAAAAAAACCTAGGTAATATGGTTTGTACCCCAAAACCCCATTATCACAGAAACATTGTCCCTCTCTTGTATGCAAGGATATGCTTCTGCCTGTTTACTCAGATAGCCAAAGTGAGGGACAACCTGCCACCAAGGAGACGACTCCCCTCCTTCGGTGGCCAGGCGCGCACACACAACAGTGCACGTGCACGCTGCTACCGGGCTATGCAGGGTGAGGCGCAAGAGGAGTAACAGTTGGCCTCATGTCTAGGGAGGGCCCTAGACCCTACATAAAAGAGAAGGCAGTATAGAATGGGCCAGAAGAATTGTTCTCAGTGACTCATTTGCACTGAAATCAAGATTTCATTAGTTTACCAAGGCTGCTAAGCTGAAAAGCTGTAAATAACAGAACACAGGAAAACATGTGCTAAAAATAACTACTTGGCTCCTTACTTACAAAGGATATTTTACAAACTAAAACTTACGTATCTGAGTCATCAGAACTGGAGTCGTCATGACTTTGTTCAGACTTCCATCTCTTGTGCCTATCAATAAGGTCAGTCAGGTAGGAATTTTTCTTTGAGTTTCGTAAAATAAATTTGTGTTTTAAGAGCTCTTTTGCAGTAGGTCTCTTAAAAAAAAAAGAAAAGGTTTTGGTTTTTTTACTGCATTTGAGAGTGTTAAGTGACTCACTATAAAAAGATTAAGAAATCCAGACTTCAATTTTCATACAAATGAGATTTTAAATATATACAGTATCTTAAGGGGAAAAAAAAAGTTTGTGAATATGTTGCCCCATATTAGAAAAGTTGAACTGCATTTATTCATGTAATACATGTAAACCACTCAAGTTCTCTACTACATATTGATAAACAGATGAAACTCACAAAGCTTGGGTCCTTGTTTAAGCAGGCCTCAACAAATTCTTTAAGGGATTTACTGAAGTTTCCTTCCAGCATTGGTGGATTGTTCTTAGGAATGAGAAACAAAACCTTCATTGGATGTAAATCTGAATGAGGTGGCTCTCCTTTTGCAAGTTCTATGGCTGTTATGCCTAATGACCAGATATCTGCCTGTAAGAAACAATGCTTGTAAGATTATGTCAGAGAAAGAGAAGAAACACTGTTGCTTGCAAAGGTACATTTTAAACCCCTAATGTAAATAATTTAATATCTAAATTGTTTTTGTTATTATGGTCTGGTTTATGAAGTTAACCACATGAAATAAAGTACACAGAGTTCCTTGGTCATTTTTACTCTACAGCATAAAGCAGTTCCACTTATCAGAGTTTTAAAACTTTTTGAAATCAATACTACCGCAACAGCGGTTATAACTGATCTTGAAACACAAATATTTTTAAAAAGTAATGGTAGAGTTGTTATAAACTAGCATTGTGTCCACCATATTGCAGTACATTATATAAATATGGGGCAAGACTCAAATATTGGCATAAAGGAAAGTGTTATGACATGCACAAGATTTTTCTTCACTAAGCATCAGCTAGTACAACCATCAGAAATTTAATACATTAGACTATAGTTTTCCTGAGGTTTAATACTGTCTTATACATCATTCTTATTCACAGACTAGAGAAATGCAGTCTAGACCAGTATTATTCAACTTTTTCAGCCCAAGATTTCAACCCAGTTAGGTATTTGGTCCAAGTAGCTTCTGAAATATTGACCGCACTTTTCTACCCAATCTGCTTTGTAGATCTTCTCCTGTGAGCCATGTCTTGTGGGCCAAGAAGGCCTGATCTAAATCAAGTCATGCACATGCAAAATGCAGATCCAAAGGGTCACTTGCCAAGTTTGAGGGCCAAATCAAGTAATGCAGCAGAGACCAGTGCTAGATCTGCTACCATTTAATTTCATTGATGAGTTGGATTCACATTGTTGCTGGATGCCATAATATGCATATTGGGTTTTCGGGGACGATTATTTAAATATACTAGTTTCACAGGTTTTCATCATCAAAATGTGATACTCTTTCTAGGGAATGCTGTCTTCCTAGATCCAAATCCTATTGCCAAATCTGCCTGAAGTAATGTGAAGTAATGCATCATAATTCTCTATGTTCTGCTGAAATAACAGAACTAAAAGTCAAAAGAACGCATGAATAAACCCCTCAGAAAGGTGAAAGAAAAAAATTTCATAGAAGTGTGTGTTCCAAAGGACAAGATATCAATTAAAAATATTTATGTTTTGTTTTTTTCTGTTTGTTTTGAAGTGAAAGTAGAACAAAGACTTATTGTCAGGAAAAGAGGAAAGATCTGAAGTGAGCTGCCTGGTTTTACTCTCAGAGCATTTGGAACTTTGCTACACTGTAAACAGACCTATTTCTAGGTATTGGATAGAGATTTCATTTATCACTGCTGTCCTTACTAAGCATCCCTCTAATCCATTAGGTCTTTGCTCAATTGATATGCTAGGTTATCTTTGACTAAATCATACAGGACTACAGGCTGATAGAATCATAGAATGGTTTGGGTAGGAAGGGACCTTAAAGATCATCTAGTTCCAACCCCCTCTGCCATGGGCAGGGACACCCTCCACTAGACCACGTTGCCCAAAGTCTCATCCAACCTTGTCTTGAACTCTTCCAGGGAGGGGGCATCCACAACCTCTCTCGGCAACCTGTTCCAGTGCCTCACCACCCTCACAGGAAATAATTTCTTCCCAACATCTAATCTAAACCTGCCCTCCTTCAGCTTAAGGCCATTCCCCCTTGCCCTATCACTCCATGCCCTTGTAAACAGTCGCCCTCCAGCTTTCCTGTAGGCTCCTTCAGGTACTGGTAAGCTGCAAGGAGCCTTCTTTTCTCCAGGCTGAACAACCCCAACTCTTCCAGCCTGTGCTCACAGGAGAGATGCTCCAGCCCTCCCATCAGCTTTGTGGCCCTCGCTTCTGGACTTGCTCCAATAGCTGCATGTCTCTCCTGTACTGGGGCCCCCAGAGCTGGATGCAGTACTCCAGGTGGGGTCTCACAAGAGCAGAGCCAGAGCGGCAGGATCACCTCCCTCGACCTGCTGGTCACACCTCTTTTGATGCAGCCCAGGACACGGTTGGCTTTCTGGGCTGCAAGCGCACACTGCTGGCTCATGTTGAGCTTCTCATCCACCAACACCCCCAAGTCCTTCTCCTCAGGGCTGCTTTCAATCCATTCTTGGGATTGCACTGCCCCACGTGCAGGACCTTGCACTTGGCCTTATTGAACTTCATGCAGTTCGCATGGCCCACCTCTCCAGCCTATCAAAGTCCCTATGGATGGCATCCCTTCC